TGAGTGAAAAATGGGCCATCCACACTGGACCATTCCCTTAAGTATTTCCTCTTTTGTGGGGAAGAAAATATGAAATGCAAAATTTGATGCACCACCTCTGTCATAGAAAATGACATAATATATTGAAACAACAAGATTTGTATCTGTGTCGTTGGCCCAGGTCTTGAGATGAAACAGACCAATTTTTAAGTCAGTCGGATGAGACCTCTGGGAAACGGTCTCAAAAGTATGACTCCAGTAAACGTGCAAAAAATTTGACAAAATTGTTCACTTAAAAAAAAAAAAAAAAAAAGCATAACTCACTTCAAGTACATTTTAGCAGATGGCTTCTGCTGATGCTTTTTGTATGTCTCAGGGTGCTACACTCAGTAAGAAGGGGGACCTCGCAGCAGTTGCTGCTCAAGCCCTAATACCTAAAATTCAATGCAGGAGCAACTGTGTAATATGATGACTGTAAACATTTACTGTATAGGTTGTCAAGAACACTAGACTGTTCACACAACACTCTGACCACTTACTGTCTTTGATTTGAAGATGTCAAGAAGGCCAGACAGGTGGTTGTACTGACTTGGTACCTTACGAAGGTGTACCATCTCAAATTCTGTGTGGACACCATGTCCCTGGCATTCACCAGAATATAGTCGCCTCCACTTTTGCTGGATCTGCACAAACATGGGGACTTGGCTGAGTGTAGAGGACAAAAAGACAAAGATTTGTTAGAACTTTTCACTTTGTTTTATCATCTACCGTTGAGGCTAAAAACATTGTGAAGTACTGTGATATTGACATTCTTTGCTCCTCTGTTCCCAGTAGCTGGTTTTGTTAATGATGTACATGTGAAAATTCCCTTGTAAATTAGAAAATAAACATGCAAACAGCAACTAGATTATATACTATGTGTAAGTGTGAATCCAAGTCATTAACCTCTAAAACGGAAAAATCTGACCCAAAACGATCCAAATATAACATCCTTCCCATGAAAAGACTGATTTACAAAGGTTTTCCGTCTGTTATCCGACCTAAAATATTCCTCTTTAGGTGCTCAAGATTAGTGCAGGCCTGAAACTCGAGTCGTCAATCATTAATTGAATAAACAACCGTCCCAATTTACGTTATACTGCATAATGTAAAACGCAAAACATACAAATGACTTTGTCCAACTTGGAGTGGTGTTTCCAAGTGGAAATACACAAAAGGGCAACTAAAACTGCTTCAATTGTGCCTCTGGGACTGATGTGTGGATTGATACTGTTGGAACTGCCAAGATATCCGATTCTCAAACATTAATAATACGTTTGATACTTCAGTCACTTGAAGTACTGTATTTTCCGTATAGTAGCACAAAGGAAAGCGGTACAGGTATCAAGTATCAGACACGTGCGCACACACACACACACACACACACACACACACACACACACACACACACACACACACACACACACACACACCAATCAAGGATATTACGGCCAATCACAGAATTAACATAGTATACAAAATATCAGCCGATCCAATATAGCTAGTCAGACTGATGGAAAGTCTAATTTATGTTTGATCTTAATGATAGTAAGACTGTTCAAAAACAATGTTGTCTTACTATTGTTGTTGAAAGTATGCTAAAGAAGAGTGCTGATGGTGTCTCACCAGCCACTGTTGACCAGAGAAACTGAGATGGAGCTGAGAAGCAAATTACATTTGGACTCGCTGATGATAGCCTCGACGTTGGGTCCTGGGGAGATGACAACAAACTCTCTTATCCCGTACCTGTCAACAAAAAATGAATTGACTTGGTGATCTTCATCTTCACATGAACCAAATTTCAGAGCTCTCATGGACCAAATCTGTTTGAATTTGCCGTTTACAAATGGTCAATTAGTGACTGAAGGGTCAGCGGTTTGAATATCCACTCTGTCTTATTGCTCTCAAAGTATCCTTCGGGAAGACTCACCATCTGACCATCAAACTCACCATCTGACCAAGCAATGGGCACGAGGAGGGAAGTCATTTTTGGTGCACAAAAGGTCCTGCATTGCGAGGGGAAAGGGAGCTGGGGGAAAAAACAAAACAAAACAAAACTGCAATTTAGGTTTTGTCTACAAATCACTTCCAGCCAAAGGGCAGGCGATGTAAAAAAGGTGGCAGAAACACACTGTAAACTCATGCCATTCCCATTCCTGTAACTGTCTCATAAAAATTTCAGTTCATTGCTGTCTTCGTGTTTTTTTTTTGTTTTTTTTTTAAGTAAAAACATTACAGACATCTGCCTTCAAGCTTGGTATATTTTGCTCTAAAAATTCCGTCTGGTGTCAGGTATTCCTAGTTCGTCTACATACATAAATGTACGCTGTGTATACACACACACACACACACACACACACACACACACACACACACACACACACACACACACACACACACGTCTGTGTATGTGCATGTGTAAAATCAATTTCCCCTTGAGAGATAACAAGCAGCATTAAAAATTCAAGAACATTCAAGAAACAATTGGGAGTTCCATGTGGATTTAAGTTGGGATTTTGACTGGAAACGGAGAACAAAAGAGACCATACCTTCCTCCAATTCAGTATTTGTATCGTTCTCATTCTCTTGCACCAATGCATAGTGGGTCATGGAGAAGGTAAAATCGACAAAATTAATCTCCTGAGATTTCTCCTCCCACGTGCCATTCGAATAGTCAGCCTGTGCAAACAAAGGAGGACCACTTGTCAAACAAGAACTAACAGTCATGTTAAGCGTAAACATTTTAGTTTTTAAAGCTATTTACCTTTTCTTTGGACAACTTCCTTGTTGAGTTTCCAGTTAGTTTCCATTCATTTAAGACTTCTTCAACCCTGGACACAAACCTGAAGTAAAGAAATAAGTTTGAATGACATGACTACCAGTAGTTTGACATAATTTAAACATTGACATGAGCCAACATCAGAGTTGAGAATATCTTAAAATAGGCTAAGAAATTCTGAAAGGGAATGTTGTCAGCTTTGGGCATTGTCCAGAGATGTATAAGCGGAGTAAACTAATTTGTATGGAACTAATGATTTTTTTTCAATTCCATATACATTATACAACAAATCAAGAGTATATCAGAGTCCATTAGCTGAGTCTTCCATCAGCAAGTCAAGCCGAGCCACCAACTAATTTCAAGCGAGTCAATTACGTGGCTCAAGCAAGTTTTAAATCAAGTTATAAAATCATGTTCAGTCACAACATATGTTGGAAGTGAAAATAAAACTTTTTTTTTTCCTGACCATCACACAAAACAGGACATCAACCTAAAAGAATATTTGTGCATATAGAATGCATCTGCATGAGTGTTTACAGCAACTATTGTATCGAACACAATTTACTGTGATGATAAATGTTGAAATATGATGCATGTGGGAGTAAATATATGTCCAATAGGATTGAAAAACTACATACTGGACATTGTTTTTGGTGCCAATCTGTTTCCAAATTTATTTGTGCGTGTAACTTTTTTTTCAGCATCAAGAAGAGAGTTTCCTCTTTCTTTTGGTCGGCTGCATGTTTATTGCAATAGAACACAATAATCTGCAAAACCAGTCAAAATCCTGTGAAAATGGCCGGGATTTCATGAGTTAATAATCGACGTGTCGATTATTTATCCATTTCATTATTCAGCACTGTGAAATGTGTCGATTCCTGCTTCTCCCACTGGCTGTTTGTCTGTCTGCATGATCAGATCGTCAGCAAGCTCTGCGGAAGCCTGATCTTGAACCCGTTCATTTGAATCAGGTGTGTTGCAACTGGGAGAGATGGAAAACATGCAGGATAGCGAGCAGCCCTCCAGGACTGGAATTGCCCACCCCTGGGTTAGAATGTCCGCCTCACAGTGCAGAGGTCCCTGGTTCAATTCCGGGCTCCAGCCCTCCTGTCTGGAGTTTGCATGTTCTCCCCATGCCTACGTGCGTTTACTCCGGGTGCTCTGGCTTCCATCGCACGTTCCAACAACATTCATGGTGGGTTAATGGAACACTCTAAATGTTCTCTAGGTGTGATTGTGAGCGCGAATGGTTGTTCGTCTCTGTGTGCCCTGCGATTGGCTGGCAACCGGTTCAGGGTGTCCCCTGCCTAATGCCCAAAAAGACAGCTGGGATAGGCTCCAAGACGTCCCGACCCTTGTAAGGATGGATGCATTTTCCTGTTTTATTTGAGACTCAATTTGGTCATTAGGAAGGTGGGACAAGAGAAAAATAGAATTAGAGAGTGCACTCCAGACCTTTTTTTAGTATTTTAAAAACGACTTTTCGCTTTTTTTTTTTTTTTTAATATTTGGTCTCAGGAGAAATGAATTCACTCAGTAAGTGCATATTTTAGTATTTTGTATGTGGATTATTTAAATTCTGTTGGTTGGGACGTAAAACGTCCTCCATTTCTAAAATGTCCCTTTATAATTCCACGACAAGCTGAGTAGTAATAATTGTGAACTGGTACAAGGTGTGTATATTTCAAGTAAATGTCGAAGCAAGGGTAACTCCAAAAATACCTTTCCCACTCTGACGCAGTGGTGAAATCCGTGATCTCGAACACCTCCGATTCGGGCTGGAATCGACAAAAATGGCTTTCAACGCGGTTAAATTAAGCGACAGCGGGTTATAAACACAGATATTCCGTTGTTAAATCAAGCGACAGCGGGATCAACGTTTACGTTATTTTCCTTCAATGATTTGTGCCTTGGTATTTTAACTTACATCAGTGACAGCAGCCATGTTGACGTTGTCAAAAATAATCATAATAATCTTCTTCTTCTTCTTCTTCTTCGTCTTCTTCGTCTTCTTCGTCTTCGTCTTCTTCTTCTTCTTCTTCTTCTTCTTCTTCTTCTTCTTCTTCTTCTTCTTCTTCTTCTTCTTTTTTCTTTTTCTTTGAAAGAGAGTGGCGAAGAAGAAACGGGGGAGAGGAGGAGAAGGAGGTGGAGGCGAAAAAGAAGAAGAAAAAGATGAAGAAAAAACACAGAGAGAGAGAGAGAGAGAGAGAGAGAGAGAGAGAGAGAGAGAGAGAGAGACAAAACAGTGGAAGCAATATCCGTAGCTGTGTGTACAACTCGAAACCTGTAAAATGATTTGGTTCAGTGGGTCCATACCAGATGCCATTAGTTTGGCGAAACAGAGGAATTTTGTCTTTGTCATCGTGATCATAGGTATGTGCTTCCATTTTTGACGATAAATAATCCTAGCGATCTTTTCTGCCTGACATGAGTAGGAGTATACTAAGCTAGTTAGCGTACCTCTTAATTTCAAAACTGCGTGCACTCAAAAATTTGACTCAAACTCAAAAGACTGTTTACATTAACGATATCAATGACACCCGTCGACTGCGATCGGGTCACTCTACGCTTTCAAATTTAAAGTTAAAGTCAAGGCCTTACTTAAATGTTCAGTATCTGTGTAAAGTAGGCATTACGGTAAAGGACTGAGATAACCAGTTTTAGAATAAAACCTGAAATGTGAAACGTGTATGAACATCATTGCCTTTGATTCCAAAATGTCAGGCAAAGCAGCACCCGATTTACCATTAAAGGATTTCCATCAGCTTGTTTTAGAGTCACTAACGAAGTAACTTCTTGCTGGAAGGATTAGCTTGAGTTATAAACATTATATCGTTAATACAAGAACTCAAGAAGACATCATCAACATGATAAAAGAAAGAATGAATTCTGTACAACGATCCATTAGCCCACTCAAAAATTGTGTGAGTACACATACATGTCTTTTAAACGATTTTTCTTTTTTTTTTGGCACCATTTAGTGATTTATAAATTAAGAGTAGACTGTTGATACTTTGAATCTTGGCACTGTGTTGGCGGTGTCTCACTTTGTTGCTCAATATGTACACGCTGGATTTCGTTATTTTTTATTAATGGTATCTTAATCCAAATGTATCTTTGAAATATACAGTCAATAAATAATATTAACATGGTCATAATAAGAAAATCAGAGTGAAAGTGTCATGACCCTCAACTGATGCTGTTCAGTACCTGTCTAAGAGAAACACAATATTTGTTCTTTTTCTATTACAAAAATATTTTAATACGTTTTTCCAGTGGTCACTGTTGGGGGAAAGCGGCCTTCTTTCCTCCGCGTGTTCGTTGAATTTCGGACGAGGAGAATGTTAGTAATCCATATATAGGCTGGAGCCAATGAACAGTTCCTTCGAAGCTTTTAATAACAGAATATTCCGGGCACCTGCGAATTACAGTCAATGGCTGCACATCACAAGTGCAAAGCAGGAAGAGATTCACATCACTTTTATGCCATCAGAAGGGCGGTACCGAGACACAAGGTGTGATATCATAACTTTTGTTTCTCCTAAACCGATTCTCAGCTTAGCGCATTCCAATGTTTGTGCGTCTCCAGCAGGGAGTATTCCAATTCTAGGTGATGATTTCTTCAAGGACACCAAGCTACGCTTTGGGCATGGGAAAGTGATACATTATGACTGAATATGAGCAGAATACAGACTTCATCACGCAGTCGGCTGATTCCCTTTTTTCTTCCTCCATTTCTCCAGCATTGGAAAACACTTTTACACAAGGCATTAGTAAGGCCTAAAACTAGCGGAGACAGCCAATCAATACTTTGACCTAGTGCTAAACAAAAACATTGAGATCTCTGAACCTTTTATATGTTTTAGAGAAGATGTGAGAGATTACATTTTATGAAAAACTGCAGATTTGGAATTCTTGTTGTTTGCTCCTTTTCCAAATATAACTGTTATGTGAAGATTGACTCAGCAGCTCCTGTGATGTAAAGGTTCAAAGGAAGGCAAACACCTCCCTTTTTGAAGAAAATATCCAAATTTGGCGGCCCGTATCTCCCAACTCCCTCCTCTGATTTACCTGAAATTTGAGATTTAATGTTTGCCATCCCTCTCAGTAAGTACAGCCAGCAAGTTTCATTAAAATCAAATCTGCTAGGTTAAAATTTTCAGATCTTTTTTCTTTTTTGGGGGTGGTAGGTTAGCATGGATTGATTCTATTTACATTAACTATTAAAGTAATTAAATATATCAACAATTTATTTAGGCAGCCCGGAGGTCGACTGGTTGGCACATCGGCCTCTCAGTCTAGAGGTGCAGGGTTCAATTATGGGTCTGACCTTTCTGTGTGGAGTTTGCATGTTATCCCCCGTAACTGTGTGGGTTTACTCCGGGTACTTTGGTTTCTTCCCACATTCCAAAAACCAGCCAGTCGCACATAACACTTTTGACTTCATTGTCTCTTTCAAACTTCGTGCCTCTCGTGACCGCTTTTAAGGGACCAAACAGGTGAAAGTCTGAAGGAGCAAGGTCTTGGGCTGTAATGGGGATGAGGGAGCAGTTCACAGCCCAGCTCGTTGACGGACTGCACCATTTGGGCTCCTGTGTGAGGCCTTGCGTTGTCACGTTGACTCCTTCTGACTGATGACCGCTGTATTTGTTTTTCATGTCTTTATTGACCTGCCTCAAGTTCACAGGAGTTGGCACAAAGTTTGAAGTGACGATGAAGGCAAAAGTGTTGCGAGCAACTGGCTGAGACATCAGTCCAAAGCGTTTTACGCTGAGTGAATATGGAAGCTTGTGCACAGATGGGAAAAGTGTTTGACAGTGCTGGGAGACTACATAGAAAGAAAAAAAAAGTAATCTTCCATCTGTTATAAATCCTCATCCCGAAAAATGCACCTTATTTCTTGAATGACCCTTGTATCTATAATTCACCTTCAGTGTTGTTTATTTTCAACTGAATTGTTATTACCAACACAAAATTTCAAGTTAGCCCCTTGGGCCAATTGGTAAATTGATCAGTCTCCGTGGGGGGACGGGCAGATTTATTAATCTGACACCAGAGCATGTCAAAATGAATAAAACCATCCCAGAGCACAGGTAAGAAGAACAGAGGGAAGAAAAAATTGCTGATGAAAAATGGGAGAAAGAGAGATGAAGTTGTTGCCCTTTTTAATTGGTCCTTTCACTTATTTTCAATAACCAAAGCGTCCAGTGGCGACTATTCAAGTTTTGTGTGAGATTATATTTGACAGTTTCTTATTCAAAGAGTAAACTGATTTGCATGACCTACTCATAGGTGAAGATGAGCAGTCATCAAACCTGATGTCCAGCTGGGAGGACGACAGTGTCTCACAGACGGCTCAAAAATGCTGCGTGGCCATTCAAGTGGACGCCAAGAGGTGCTGTATTAAATTTAGCACTTTCTCTGAAAGTACTTAACAGAATATTTTTCAGTGCGTTTTTATTCCCTCCTGAAAGATAAAGATTAGTCATTCCATCCTGGGTCATCAACACTCGTACAAACAGAAGGCACAGGAATCATGCAGAAGGATATTTGTATGATTTCACAAGACAAAATCGTAACTTTCACCTGTGTGTAGTGTACAAAATAACAATAGAATGTAAGAAGGAACCTTTTCAACAAAATGTGCATTTTACCAGTAGCAATGTGACAGGATTTCTCAAAATTGAAAATCTGTCAAGACACAGTACAAAGGCTAATTTGAATGGCGACTTCAACCGGAGTGCAACGCACCTCAGGATTTTTTGGGGAACACTTTTATGTTATGTTGCCTGTTGACAATCTGGTTTACAAACAAAAAAACACCTTCAAATTAGATCAACGATATTACCGTACACCGCGATGTCGTGAAAATACGGTGAAAGGGTGTCAAAATTTGATTATTGCCCAACCCTAGTATATGGGTGTGGTGCAAGGGTGAAAGGTTATAGCAGGCTTAGATGAAACGAAGGGGGATGTGACTAAACAGGAGGGATGGTCTAACCCAGGGGGTCGGGAACCTTTTTGACTAAGAGAACCATGAAAGCCTCGGTTTTTGACCATAATTCGTTTCAGAAGGCTGTTAGAAAACCAATTTGTTCGAATACCGAAACCACACTCTTTTTTTAAAAAAAGTCTTTATTGAACACGTCTGCTCACAACGGAACGCTACACGAGGAAGCGTCACTTCCTTGTCTACCCGAGGAAGCGTCACTTGCCCGTGTAAGGAAGGCGAGAGGAGTCAAGTGGCGCGTTCAAGTGCGCTCAGTTTCGTCGAGAACCGATTTTCGGTCGTAATCCGAGGTATAAAAAAAGTTGAAATTTTTGGTCGAAAACCGATTTGGTCGAGAACAGAGACATTCAAAAACCGAGGTTTGACTGTGTGTGTGTGCCATCTTATTCGTTGAAGGATTAGCTTTGAGCTCATAACCGAGTGGGCTGATTCAAAAGGGGGCGTTTAGCTGTTTACCCATCAACAGATAATGTAGGCCAATATCATCCACTTAAAATTGCTCCTGCCGCCAACGGTAGCCCTGAACAGGACATGAGCAGTGAAAAATCGAGAATATTTTGTCTTATCTGCGAGCCAGATGCAATCATCAAAAGAGCCACACATTTGGCTCGCGAGCCATCTGTCCCCGAACGCGCGGGCCCAAAGTTAGTGAAAATCTGTAGATGATTGACAGCCATTAAAATATATGCGTTTCCTTCTCCGAAAATGTGAATTTTTTTGTGTTGTATGTGATTTCACTTGTCTTCTTATCTCCCTTTTCCCTCAGTGACACTTGTGTGCAGTTCTCCCAGATCTGTATCTTTTTTTTTCATTGCTCTTCATCATAGAATCCACACAAACCTCTTGAATGGTACAATGTAAAGGTAAAAAGAAATGTAATATTTGTGTCGCTTGGAAACTGAAAATTGAATGTGATCTGAACTTATTCTTTAACAAGACACGAATGCAGATCCAGTGGTGTGCATTCCCTCAAGTTTCTTTATTGGGGAGAATGGTATTCCTTTGGAGGTCATTGCTGGCAGCGTGTCTGCCGAAGAACTACTGATTAGAATCAACAAAGTACAACAGGTAGGAGCCCTGATTTTAGATTGACCATTTTCATATCTGAGTCCTCGTTCGTCCAAATGAATCTGGCTGCAGCGCGCCATTCTCAGGCCTCTTCTATCACTAACTTGGAGACTTCAGTTCACCACCACCTTCAGCCCAGAAACACATTGAATACAGTGGTACCTCTACTTACGAACGTCTCTTCATAGGAAATTTTCAAGTTACGAAACGTCTCAACAGGAAAATATTGCCTATTGTTACAAAAGAAATTTCAAGATATGAAAGGTAAAAACACAGTATGGCCTGCTACTCGCAGCTCCCAAGTTTTCTGAACACAACACACCTATAGCTGCTGCCTTTGGCTATTACCGAGCATCATCTTGGCATCCCATTGGCCAAGAGGGACTTCGACTGTATCTGTCTATGTGTGTAGATCGATACATATCCTGTATGTGTCTATGCAGCGTCCTCGTCATTCGGCCCTCGGGCCATGAGGCGTTTCGATCGTTTTACGTAAATGTGAATCACCCAGAAAAAGTGTTCACCAGTCGGGCGATCGCTCACTATGCTCATGTTGGCCTTGGACATTTTCGAAGGATTGTTGAAAGCTAACAAAAACAAACATCCTCAGATCAGTTCTTTTCAAAACGCCAGGCAAAAACCACTTCCGAGAGAGAACATGAACTAAAAAGGGCAAAAAACGATGAGGACGCAGTTAAAAGTTAAATGAGCATCATTTTTATTCGTTACCGGTATTCTTTGTTTTTTTACATTATGCACAACTCTCATTTATTGTGCAATAATCTAATTGTAACATATATTTGTTACATATTTTGATGCTTTTTTTTATGCTTTAGGAAACATGTCTGAATTTTGGTGGGGGGGGCTTGGAACAAATTAGGGCATTTACATGGAAAATGCGTCTCTCCTTACAAAATTTTCTAGTTCAGAAATTTCTAGTACAGGTACCACTGTACTTATTTTCATTCTTTCTTTCTTTTATTCTTTGTCTTGCGTTCTATTCCTCTCTTTCTTTTCTCCTTTTCTCTTTTTCTTTCTTTCTAGCAATCCATCATCCATCCGCCCGTGTGTGTGTGTGTGTGTGTGTGTGTGTGTGTGTGTGTGTGTGTGTGTGTGTGTGTGTGTGTGAGAGAGAGAGACATATTGAGAGAGAGAGACATATATATATATAAAATCAGTGGCGGGTGATGAGTTTTTTTATGGCCTTCTATAGTCACAATGCAAATAGACAAATGAGGACAGTGCAAAGACAGTTCACAGCCACAACTGGTATTTCAAATTATTTGGGGAGTTATGTATGTGGCTTGTTTAGCAACATCTCTCAGTCCTCAATCATTTCTTTGTCTTCCATTTTGTCAATGTTGTATTTCGTGTCAGGGCGTTCACTTATCATTTCTGTCAAACATCAACAACAGTGCTGGTTTTCAAGAAGTACTATTGTTGAACAAAACAAAAAAATTGTCATTTGCTATGCGTTGCTCAATACACTGGTAGAAATTACAGTTGCAAAATGTATGTGGACTCCTTCAGATGCATGCACAAAGAATTGACACTGGAATGGTGTCACAAGAGACAGCTGCTACTATGATGCCCAGTACAACACAACCTGGAATGGCTCCTTCGGTGCACCTCGCATCACCAGAAGCATTCACGAGGCCCTCTGCAGTGGAAGACTTGGAACCTCAAGTGGCAACTAAACGTAAGAATGTCATGTCAACTTTAAAAGCTGATGGTGGTATCTCGAAGTGGGTGAACTGACGATAAATAGTGCGAGGACAATAGAAAAGATTTTGTCGTGTCACATTTCTGTTATGTCTGTTGTCATTTGTCATCTGCTGCATGCTGCATGTTTTTAGTCTTGTCAAATGCAGCTTGATGTGAGAGGCAATCACCCCCACTTACTTTATGTTGCAAAAACGTTTGATCAGAAGAAAAATAGGCAGAGAAAAGTCGACTAGAACGTTCAATTGAACTGTTGCCAGTTCTTTTTGAACTTTTGAGTTTTTTGAATGAAATATTGAATGTTTTTTTTTTCTTATTTCTGGTGTGTTTTTAATCCTTGCAGCTGCGTGTAGCCAGTCAGCTATGACTACTGCAGCGAGTGAAAATCCAGATCGTACAGATTTATGCTTTAAGAATGAAGATGTACAAAGGTAACAGCACACATGCAAAGTGGCTTTTCATTAGCTTCGCTGATCAAAATATTCATGATGTTTTATCTTTCTGGATTTAACATGACCCTGGATGTCCTGGATGTCAGGCATCAGCAAAAGATGACGCTGGAGGATAAGGTAAAGAAAAACTCTTAGGTGACACAGATACAATGGACTCTGGGTATGTGTGAAGAAAAAAAATATGTAAAAATACATTGCATTTTAATCAATTTCATAATTTTGAACAATGTGATGCGCCACTATGGAAAAACTTTCAGGACACACATCACCCAAATCACCACAACTGCTTTCTTCCACCTCAAGAACATCTCTCGCCTCCGCCCCTCACTTTCTTTCACTTCCGACCAATTCTTCATCCACGCCTTCATCACCTCTTACCTCGACTACTGAAATAGCAACCTCTATGGTACCACCTCCAAACTCCTCAATAAACTACAATACATCCAGAGCGCCACTGCGCGACCTCTCACCCACACCCACACCCGCACCCTTGATCACGTCCACTGGCTCCCCGTTCCCCAGCGCATTCAATTTAAGCTCCTCCTACTCACCTTCAAAAGCCTTTCATGGTCAGCCCACCTCCTACCTCTCCGACCTTCTTCACCCATACGCTCCTTCCCGCAACCTCCGCTCCTCAAATGCAAACCTCCTCGCCATCCCCGTGACCAAGCTCAAAGCCTGGGGGTACTGAGCCTTCTCTGTCACCGCCCCCACCCTCTGTAACCCTGTACTTCAACACATCACCAACTGTACTGACCTCCAAACCTTCAATTCATTTCTTAAAACTCACCTGTTCCACAATGCTTTTAACATCGTTGAATCGCCCTTACCCATTTTTGCTTTGTTTTTCTTTTTCAAAATTTGTTTGTTTTAAAATGTGTATATTTTGCTCTAAAGTGTCCATTTTTATCCCGTTTTGTAAATTTTTGTTGTAAAGTATCTTTGAGTACTGTGAAAAGCGTTTTCCATGAAATTTATATTCAACTTAACTGGAAGAAACATTTAGGAACCCTGGTTAAGAATAACTGACCTGAAGTCTGAAGATGTGTGTTCAACCAAAATTCATTTTGACTAGGTGTGGCCTTGTTCTGTCCTCTCCTACAGAAGGAGATCAGGAAGCCAAAGGAGCAGCCGAAAATGTCAAAGGATCCGCACAATTTAAAGAGGGAACAGGAAGAGGAAAAGACCAAGCAAATCCTGGAAGAGAGAAACCGAGAGCGAGAGATGGATAGAAATGCCAGGGAGCGGGTCAGACAACAAATCGCTTTGGTAATCAAGTCTTTCATTCCGCATTACCTTCCACAAAAAAACACTGTGCTAAAGGTAAAGGCGGAGTAACTTGCATTCGCTGGTCTCAACAACTTGATTAAATTGTCTCATCGACAATTGGATTTGATATTGCGTTGTATCATAATGGGGTACATTAGACTTACCAGTGTCTTGATTCAATAGTATTAGGGTTTTGTTTTGAATCAATAAATTCAAGAAGTTTAAACAATGTTTAAAATGAATTCAGTTAACATTAAAACATAATCAGGGGTGGACATAAGTGGTGCGTCATCGTGTATGAGCACTGGAAATGGAATATTGCGCTCCAGTTCAAGTCTGTCGGCACCTTTGTGCACTAATAATATTTCAGGCCAGCCTAAATTTGAAGTCAAGTCCACTGCGACGAGGATTGATACAATGGCCAACTTGTCAAAACACAACAGCAACAAAAAACCCAAACAAACAGAAAAAATGCTTATTTCAGTTATCTATGGTTGTCACGGAACTGAAAAACTAAAGCTGTATTTACCTGACGATCTGCAGTGATACACTATCGAAGGCGGTTGAATGGATGGTTTACTAGTTTTTACCTTTCTTTTTGCCTGAAGATTCCACAAATACTGTAATTGAATTGAATATAGTTGAAATAATTATTTTAATTTCGTGATATTTATGTGTTAATTCACATTTTTTTTTGTTTTGCTGTTTCATCTCTGTTTTGTAGGACCGTGCTGAAAGAGCAGCCCGTTATTCCAAATTCCAAGATCAGAAGGCTCAGCAAGTTGCACTACAAGCCCAACAGGCAGCGCAGGAAGCAATAAAGGGTACCTCTCTGAGGTCGAGGAGGTACGTCTGCCATGATAGTCTCAAAGCATTAGGTTCAGATTGTGACGACATATTCGGCCACATCCATTTTCAGGATTACCATAATATCCGTCCAACGTATTAATAGCCACGGTTCTGCACATTACAACATTCGATTGTGATGACCCACAAGGGATTGACATTCACCAGGGACCTGTATCTTTAAGGGGGGATGACATTTCTATAACCAAAGGTACAATAGAGATCAAAAGGTTAAAGGGCAGCAGCTTGATGCTTGTTATGTGAAGTTCATTTTGTGCGGAGAGTAAGAGACATGATTTGCCTTCGTCTTCTCGTCTCGTCATTTACCACATCTCCACAATTGGCGACCTCGATGTGAGCAAGAAGGACAGATTTCAACGCAACCATCTACGCCACAACGGTCAAGTTGCCCGACTTTTGGTCACATAACACACAGCCATCGTTTGACCACATCAAGGCCCAGTTCCAGCTGAGAGGAATACCAGAATGCTCCACAATTCTACCCTGTGTTATCAGCATTGGATATCTCAATGACAGCCAGGGCGATGGCGCTGCTGGAGGCGCAACCAGTTATCAGTGATTCCTTTTGAGACTCTTTGAACTGTCTGTACTGAACTGGAGAAGGCAGACCGACTGCTCAACAGACTCGGCAATGAAAAACCATCTGAAATGATGGAAAGGCTGCTGGCTGTGCTGATCCCTCATTCCTATTCACCCTTCCATTGCTGGTGCACCCCGCATAAGCCATTTTCACCTCTCATCCTCCAAAAACTTATCATGTGCTCACTGTGGAGGTGGAAACGGTTTCCCTGGCCAATGGCCAACAGTTGGTTTTCCCAGTGATTCCCAACCAGGACTCCTGGGCCCTGCCGCCACCCCTGGAGGGCACAACAAATATCGTGGCTGCAATGACGGCCTGTCGCCAACGTGACAACGGGCTGTGTTACTACCATACCACGTTTGGTGCCACGGTCAAGCAGTGTCGCAAAGCCCTTTAGTTTGAAGGGGTAAGGGAAACGCCAGGGCTAATTCACAGCTATGGTTGCTGACCGGGGCTGCAAGCTATTATTTATTCCAGAGTCTTTATCAGGCCGTCGTCTGGTGAAAGACTCCATGCTCAGCGCAAATGCACGCTGCTAATGGCACGCCCATACATATCTATGGCACCATGTATGCGGAGGTATGGTTTGATTTTGGTTGCAACATTGTTATGGCTTCTGTATCTACGCCACTGCTTGGCGCAGACTTTCTTTGTGCCTTTAATCTGCTTGTGAATGTAACACACCGCCACCTCATCAATGCAGTCTCTCTTGCTGCATACCTAGGGCACACTTGGATATGCTGGCATGCTCAGCCTATCAAACACCATACCTACAAGGGATGTGTATCAACGTCTGCTTTCTGAGTTCCCTGACATCACCAAGCCCGCGTTCTGGGCAGATATGGTTAAGCGGTGCAGTTACCATCAGCCATAAATGGTCCTGGTTATATTTGCGCTCTGGGCAAACTGTCCCTTGTTCAAAAAAAAATTGCAGCTGAATTTACAATTAAGAATCAATGTGCAAGTTAGATCACACTGACATCACACATGCATCACAGACCCAAGTCAAATAACCTTAAGATACATTTTATTAACATCTGCACAACACATGACAAATTATTTAAAAAGCTATATCACATGCCAATGTATGTTATTTATAGGAAGAAAAAACAGTTCACATTCAGGACATCTGTGTGAAATTGCACTGGTTGTTTTGCAAATACAATCTAGACTAGTTTCCCTATGGATGAAATTAGTTGCATGACATGATGCCTCAAGTCCAATGGTTGCTAGTTCGGCATAACTAAATACCAAATACAGTCATCTTCTGCGGCTTAGCAACATATGAGCAAGAGTCTAATAAAAAGCCTAGAGCCTACTCTTACTGACTCACTGACATCACTCATAGAAATCCGCATCCATTTTGCCCACTTCTCCCCTTTTTTTCCTTTTTTCTAAACTGGGCAGTTGATGGCCCACATTGCCCGGAGCAAAAACCGTCCCTGCCATCGGATATTGGCACACTTGCAGGATCTGCCCAAGACAGCGGTCATCACACCCTTTGGCCTTTTCGAGTTCCTGCCGAAGCCTTTCAGCCTCACATGGGCAGCGCAGATGATTTAGCGCCTTATGGACTCTGTGCTGCGTGACATACTCTTCTTTCTTGTCTATATGAACAACATCCTAGTGGCCACCACAGATGCAACGGACCTCCCGAGACACCTCCGGCTGCTGTTTATGGGATGCAGTGTACATGACCTCATCATCAAACAGCCATGTGCCAATTGTCAGCAATTACCTTCCTCAGTTACAACCCATCACAGGGACCCATCTCCCGTTGCCAGTTTTCCCCGCCCCTCCATGGCGAAGTTTCTGCAGGTGTTCTTCGGCATGGTGAACTTTTAGAGGTTGATTCCCCACGCAGCTGACATCATGCATCCCTAATAAGAGGCCCTGCGGGGAAAATGGCCCAAGGATGAATTGGACTGGTCCCCGGAGATGGACCAAGGTTTCATCTCTGCCAAGGCTGCATTGGCCAACACAGCTCGACCGGCACACCGATCTCCCACTGCCTGGGTCACCCTCACGACAGATGTGTCAGACCTTGCAATGTGAGTAGTGCCCTTCTGCGGGCAGATCCTCGACAACATGAGGAAATACAGCACCTTTGACTGAGAGGGCTTTTTTTCCGCCACCCATCAATCCGATTCCTCTTGGAGGGCCGCCAGTTCACTGCATTTGTGGACCACAAGCCATTGACATTTGCCATGGCCAAGACCGTCGAGCTGTGGTCTGGTTGGCAGCATCGCCAGTGCAAGTTGCCAGCTCTGTTATTTATTTTATTTATTTATTTTTTTGCTTTTGTTTATTGAGTTCACAGATGCCACCACAGATGCAACGGACCTCCCGAGACACCTCCGGCTGCTGTTTATGGGATGCAGTGTACATGACCTCATCATCAAACAGCCATGTGCCAATTGTCAGCAATTACCTTCCTCAGTTACAACCCATCACAGGGACCCATCTCCCGTTGCCAGTTTTCCCCGCCCCTCCATGGCGAAGTTTCTGCAGGTGTTCTTCGGCATGGTGAACTTTTAGAGGTTGATTCCCCACGCAGCTGACATCATGCATCCCTAATAAGAGGCCCTGCGGGGAAAATGGCCCAAGGATGAATTGGACTGGTCCCCGGAGATGGACCAAGGTTTCATCTCTGCCAAGGCTGCATTGGCCAACACAGCTCGACCGGCACACCGATCTCCCACTGCCTGGGTCACCCTCACGACAGATGTGTCAGACCTTGCAATGTGAGTAGTGCCCTTCTGCGGGCAGATCCTCGACAACATGAGGAAATACAGCACCTTTGACTGAGAGGGCTTTTTTTCCGCCACCCATCAATCCGATTCCTCTTGGAGGGCCGCCAGTTCACTGCATTTGTGGACCACAAGCCATTGACATTTGCCATGGCCAAGACCGTCGAGCTGTGGTCTGGTTGGCAGCATCGCCAGTGCAAGTTGCCAGCTCTGTTATTTATTTTATTTATTTATTTTTTTGCTTTTGTTTATTGAGTTCACAGATTTTGGGTATTGTACCACGCATCTAGCTAGCTTTACGTTTCTTTAATTTTGCCTGAGAAGCTCCAAAGAATCAATAGTTGCTCACAGGCAATGGTTATCCCTCAATCAATAAAATGTGATTCTAAAGAAATGTAACTGGAAGTTAAAATCACTTTTACACTGAAAGCTAACTACATCACATGCACTTTTCTTCAAAAATTAACATAGTGTCTATCTTTGCATCATCAGTACCACCACAAGGCTTCAATTTCGACTCCCTGATGGCTCATCCTTCACCAACCAGTTTTCCTCACAGAGCAAACTTCAGGAAGCTCATCAGTTCGTAAAACAGGTCAGTCAAAGGAATAGTTCTTTACCTCAGTAAATGGTACGCATAGGTTTTGGCCCTCAGCCAGAATTTTGACTTCACAACTCAGAATGCTGCAGAAGGTTGGCCGATATATTGTACACCAACCCATTATGAGGTGCGCTCTCAGTGCTAACGGGAATACATGGACCAAGTAGGTACAGTATACCCATCATGCTCAGTTAACAGCAGGACACTGCATTAAATTTCAATGACGGTAGGCTAATAAACGCAGCCTATTTAGCTTACCTTTCTTCCAATCTCGATGGGCCTCGTCTCCATTCTCCATTCCATTTTCCGTAGTATCTGGCTCATACATGTATTGTCCAACATACATTTTGCCAGCCACCTCCTCTTCCTACAACTCTTCAACACAGATTTGAAACATGGCTTTCCGAGTCGATAAAGGTAGTATTGTGCGATCAAACATTTTCTTGGCGAACTGCAACTCCTTTACTTTCCTAGGAAAAATATGATTTGTTCCTAAACATAATTGATGATCTCTGAGAATGTTTTTTTTTTAATTGCATTTGCAGTCCCACCACTGGTTAATAAGCACACGTTTACTGACTATTATTGTGTACCTTTATTCTGACACCATTATTTTTCTTCTAAGTGTAACTAAAAAGATTTTTTTTTTTTGGTATATATTGGTCCATTCTTAGGAAATTGGAAACCGCTTTGGCAACTTTTCCATGGCAACCGTGTTCCCGAGAAGGGAATTCACCAGCGAAGACCTTAATAAGACTTTATTGGAGCTGGAACTTGCTCCAAGTTCATCCATTGTACTTCTGCCTGTGAGTACACTTCCATTGACATGAAATTGAATATCCAACATCATAATTCAGGGCTCTATACTTATGAATTGAATTGATGAAAAATAGTAAATATGATAGTGAACAGGAGACATTTGGGGCATATGGGAATTTTTTGAAAGTTGAAAATTGTACCCAGGGTGAATTGAATGAGCTGAACAGTTTGAATTTCAAATGGAAATGACGTCAATCTGTTATGATGACTGTATTATTGAGAATGAATGGAGAAAATTCCAAGTGAAAAACATAGAATTTGGGGAAAAACGTGAATTTTCGGAATGAGAAAAATGCAAGCATAGTCGGCATCAATGTTTGGAATATGCTGACGTTGTAAAGGTGAGAATTGTCAAGAAATGGAGAAGGAGAAGAATGTCAAAACCGTGCAAGGAATAAAATTAAATAATGATAATAACTACAGAAAGTAATTTCTGGAAAAATTGCCTGTGAAGGCTGAGAGGGTGAATGAAAAATTGTGGAATGATTTGGAGTAAATTGAATGATATGAAATTATATACACTGACCTGGAATGAACATGTTGCAGTTACAGTAGTTTAATTGGTCAAAAAAACATTTGAAATTAGATTTAAAAAACTGTATGTAATTGTAATGTTAGCTTTTATTTTGAAATTTGGAGAAAATGCACTAGGGGTAAGCTGAACAGTTAAAATTTGAATGGTTTGAATTGGTCAAAAATGTGAAAATTGAGAGAAAATAAATCTTTATTTGGAAATTTCAAAAAAAATGGTGGAAGGGATAAGATGAACAAGTTGGAATGGTTTGAATTGTAATTGGAGGAGAAAAACATAACCATTTTAATCTTGGCCTTTTATTTTGGAATTTGCAGGGGAAAAAAATTATTTAGGACTGTTGAGCAAGGGGGAACAATGGGGATTCCTCCACACAAGAATCCGGGGTGGATTTGATGTTTTGTCCAAAGAGCGGAGTTTTTCTCGACTGAACCCGGACTAAAACTATCACATATAGTTGTGACCAAAGAGTGACTTAAGACAAAATTAAAATGGCTGCCAAAAACAACACTCCTTAGTGTGAACTAGCTCTTCTCTGTTCGCCAACATTTTGACAGTGTTAACAGTGGCAAACAAGCTCATTTGTGCATTATCGCCAACAATTAGGCTTAAATATACGTTCTCAAATTTTAGGAGCCGTCTGGAGCCATACACCAAAAGATTGACCCCAAAAGATACTTCTCCAAAACTATTTTTTCATGCAACACTTTGCGCTGCTCTAATATATGAAATTCCACCACAACAAATTTAGTTTGGCATTGTAATGTCACTAAATGTGGAAAAGTTCAAGTGGCGTGCCTTTCTGTGTGTGTTTTTTTTTATTTTTTTTTTTTTATATATACAGTATGGGTGTTAACAAAACAAACGTTCCATCCTGTCCCTCTTCCAGTGTGGCAGGCCTGCTTCTACTGTTGTCCCATCCACCGGTGGAATGTGGGCAGTCCTGAGCACACTCTTCTACCCTGTTCTCACTGTATGGCGATTCCTCACCTCCTTCATGTTTCCAACCCCACCACAAGAACCATCAAGAAGCTCGCTTCCTCTATCTCAGTCTTACGACGACAGAGCAACACTGGATAACACTGATAAACCAAAAAGGTGAGTGTGCATCTCTGGTCCTATTTGGATTATACCAGGGGTCGGCAACCCAAAATGTTGAAAGAGCCATTTTTGGACCAAAAAAACAAAAACAAATATGTCTGGAGCCACAAAAAATTAAAAGCCTTATAATGAAGGCAACACATGCTGTTTTGTATCTATATGAGCTATATTAACCTACCATCAACATGACTAAGTTGGCTACAAATACACAAAACGAGCATTCATGATTAAAAGTTTTTTTTCCCCCTGCAGTTCATCCAGTAAAGCAGCAACTTTTTTGACGGAAGATCTAATTTTCGATCAACCCTTTACCGCACATGCGCGCATACGCACACACTTCCACACTCATGTAGTAATGAGCAACAGCCATAACGGCCGCTAAGATGAATGAGGCACGGGACGCACTTTTGCAGCATGCTAACTATCATAGCTCACGTGAACCGTTTAAAAGTGCTTCTCTCGGCCACCCAGATTCCCATTCTTTGCAAGTACTGTACCAGTGATAATTTTACAGTTTGAGCCTTGCGAGTCCCAGGGACTCACTGATCAGAAAAGTATGAGTCCCATTTTGCCTTTAGAGAGTCCCAAATTTCGAATTCTGAAATGGTCTACTTATTCAATTGCATATGATAATAACACAAACAACAACAATATACATTGATAATAGGTTTATTTCTTATGAACAAATGCTGAAATTTTTTTAATAATTCAGGCATACAAGATTTGCTGAGAAATAGGTTCTTATTTCATCCCATGGTTCAGTCTTTGAGTTCATAAATTCTCCTCTCTTTACTCTGCTTCCAATGATGCAAGGCTTTCTCAAAGTCAATTTATCATCGCAAAAAACTATCCAACTTTAGCTGCTTCCTCTGTGATATCTCCCCAATAAACTTTCGCAACACTTGTTTTAACGTTACACAACTTGGCAATCATCTGCTTCCCGCGAGGTGTAGGCCGAGCTCGCCAATCTCTTCTCGCGAGAACGGAAATCTCGTCACGCGAGATTATGAACGCGAGATCAAAACAACAATGATGGCGATGGTCAAACTGCGATCGTTGCTGGAAAAAAAGATTTGTGTCCTTTCATCAGAGGATCAGAGACGCCACGCTCAAAATGTGCAGAAAAAAATATGGGCACGAGACAATTTTTTTTTTTTTTTTGGGGGGGGGGGGCGCATCTGAATGTTTATTACATAGTCTCAACTCAACTGTATTTATAGAGCACTTTAAAAGAACCACTGCTGTATCCAAAGTGCTGTACATGGAGCAAATACCATATATACAACACTAAATCCTAAAACAATAAATTGACATAGTAGAAAGCACAGAGATGAAAGTCCTCCGGATTTTCCCGGAATTCCGGGTTTTTCAAAATTTTCTGAAAATTTCTCCGGAGAATTGAGGAAAATTTGCATAAAATTAATCCGGATATTAGTTGACAACATTGAACGAAGAC